AAAAAGAAAGAAAGAAAAAGAAAGAAAGAAAAAAGAAAAAGAACAAGAAAAAGAAAATATAGTTACTGGTTATTTTAGCCCCTCTTTACCCTGGGTTCTTGGCTCCAGGCACCTAGGACAGGGCTCTGCTCCTTGAGACTAGAGCCCTACTTCCCCTGGTCAGGCCTGCAGTACACGGTTGTTGACAGAGTTCTGTATGAGGTTGCCCTCCAAGGGGAAAGTGAGTGGAGGCCCAGATGGTGCCTGGGGAGCCTTCCCTAACCTCACACTGGAGCTCTCTCATCCTGCTCCTACATCAAAACCACTTGGGGAACCTGTGGAGGGTGCAGATTCCCACCCCACAAAACTTAGTGAAAAAGACCATCTAGGAGTGTGGTCTGGGTATGTGCGTCTTCTGGAACCCCAGGTGATCCTTAAGACAAAGGAGCTGCTTGCAATCTACTTCTCCTCGGGCGCCTTTGCATAGGGCCAACCAGAGTGAATCATCCAACTATCCTCATATCCTCTCTCACTGTGGGAGAGAATGAACAGGTCTAAGAAAACACTTGCCAACCCTTGGCTGGGACTAGATCAGACTCCATCTGAGCAGGTCTCCATCAAGAAGCAGGAGCCGACCTATTTGCTGGCCACAGGGCCAGTTCTACCTCGTGGTACCATCTGAATGGTCATGGGCACCAATCTGTCATAAGCCTTTACTTCCTCCTCTGCAGAACAGAGACAGTGACAACTACTCCCTTGAAGGTGTTGCAGTGAAAAAGCCAAGTCGCTGGTCATGGGGCAAGCAGTCTGTAAATGGGAGATGTTGTTGTTATTTTGGGGATTGGCGTGATAGCTACCACTGTCCCACAAAAGAAGGAAGACCGGTATTTATTTTGGAGGTCTGGTGGTCACATGCTAAATTGTTGGTCAGTTGACACTGCCAGATTGGGGATGATCGTGAAGAACGACCAGCACTGAGCAGCATAAATGAACTCAATTGACTTAGCCAGAGACGGAACTTGCTGGGAGGACCTGAGGGAGGCCCTCCTCACCTCCTTTCTATAACCACCGAAGGAGAGCTGCTAGGGAATGCTTTCCCATCAGGATGGCACTGGTATCATCAGTGCTGAAAGGGCCCCCAGCTGCAGCAGGCACAGGAATGACCTCCTCACCTTGCTGGACTTGTGGTCCACATTAAAAGTGGCAATTACCCCGTCGGTCAACTCTCGTCCCTCTCGAAGCACCATATACTCTGACAGTCGGTTTGCCAGGTAGGTCTTCCCGGTGCCGCTGGGGCCGGAGAGGATGATCCGCCGGTGCTCCCCCAACAGGGAGACGTAGCGCTGCAGGATGGGCTTTGGAATCAGGGACTCAAACACCAGCGAGTCCAGGCTGTTTTCCGCGAGCCCTGTGTTTGAGAGAGACAGTGGGTGTGTGGAGCCCTGTAGACAAGGCAGCTCTCCGTGCTTGCCTAACTGGGGCCGCCAAGACCTAAGGTTATCTTTTTCCTCGGCAGCCCACTCACCTGAGGTCACTGCCCACCTGGGTAGACTGGAGGCTGAGAGCAAACTGTCACTGCTCCAAGAAGTCCCCCTCCCCCCATTCCTAAGCACTGTGTCCTTCTGGCTCCTGTCTTGGGTGACTTTCCCAGATTCAGACTCACGTGAATATCTGGGCTGTCAATCCTCATCTGTTCTGTGCAGAATTCCTAAGGCTCTGGGTTCTGCTAGCCTGTCTGGGTATACTACAGTGCCTGCCCAACCACAGCTGAGTCTTCTCTACTGTGCCTGCCAAACCCTGAGGCTGCCTCTTCTTTCCCTGGTTCTCGCCTGTGTGCCACTGCTGTCCACTCTCAGATGCACCACAGAGGTGATAGTACTTTTGTCTTTAAAATGAGAAAAAATCAAGAGGGGACTGTTTGATTCTGAACCTAGGATGAGATGTTGCATTCTAGAACCTCTGATTGTCAACAAGTGGAAATTTTATCTTCCTCCTTTCCAACCTGGGGGACAACTTTATTCATCAGGGTTATTGGCTTTACAAGAGCTATTTTCTTGATACTGTCTCCAAGAAAAGATCCATCTGAGATCCACTGTCCAGAACTTAGAATGATTCTGTTTAAAAACTACATTTAAGACAATCAGTAAAAGAAATAAACCAAGGGGATTGTTTTATAATACCATCTTCCTTCCTCGTAATCATTCACTGTAGATTCACAAAGTAGATCTCCCTGAAATGCACTTATATGCTTGTTTCTGATTTTTCCCCCCAAATGCAGTGACTGTTTTAGAATGACCAGGATAAAGGTCCCCTAATGCCTTATGTGCTGGGGGCAGAGGCCTAAAACTTTCCAGCTACTGAGTTCAATAAAGCTACACCAGCTCAAACCTTGATGTAAAATATGGAACATATGATTTGGGGTCTAAACTGTCTTAGAATGACCAGGATAAAGGTCCCCTAATGCCTTATCTGGGGGCAGAGGCCTAAAACTTTCCAGCTACTGAGTTCAATAAAGCTACACCAGCTCAAACCTTGATGTAAAATATAGAACATAAGATTTGGGGTCTAAACTTAATAACAACAGTGAATAAACACAGACAGGACCTCTAAAACACCTCTCTCTGCATATATGCTGCTGTTTCAGGCTCTCGCTATAAACCCCCCAGGAAGTGATGTTTGGCTGACAAACTCCCTTGAGAACATACAAAGTCACACTCCCCTCCCCTGGTACCACTGAAGTGAATCATCGTACTCATGAAATTCTTCCAGCTCAAATCCTTGAGTGGTTTTTAGTGCCTTGAAGGTGTAAGTTTTAAGTACTACAGGAAAAGAGAAGAGTCAGGTATCACTGAAAAATAAACCTGAGCTAAATCTTGATGTGCTGACAACAGCAAAGCATCACAGGCTCTGTGGGGGTGGCGTGCTCCACCAGCGACCAGATCATCGTGTCACTGTTTCTACAGAAGTTTGGTCTGGTCACAGCGAGAGGTCATTCCTCTGACCCCTGTTCACCTGTAAAGTGAGCAGGGAACAGCGAATGCCTGGCAGCAGGGATGAAATGCAATCTGAGCCCAGGATGGGAAGGCTTTCCTTCACGGGTTCTCGTGAACACTTGTTCCATCCAGTGTGCCTGATACCCTTCTCTGCTCCCCTTTAGAGCATAAGTCTTCTTTGTCACAGGTAGTTCAAGTGAAGCCAGTCTAGCCCCTTCATCCACCCAGATGTGTGGGCTTGTGACCCAGCTTGGCCAAACTCTCCCTCTGTTCACAATGACTGAGTCAATGATGGGTACTTGATTCATGGCAGGGCCGGGGTCTCCCCTAATCATCTCATTACGTTTTTCCAGAAAGGTTCCCTTAGGGGCCTAAAATAGGTCAATTAATTAGGGCTCACAGGGGTCATTTCACCAGCAACGTGCACAAAGCTCAGATAAGCACAGCTGTGGTGGACAAAGCTGAGGCAGGCTTGGTCCCTGAGCACCTGATCCATAAATTTCCTTTGTTGGGATAGCTACTTTTGGGTTGGTTTCCGCCACTTGTAGTTCAAGGGCACAATTGTAGACTTTTACTTGCCACCAGAAGGCTGTGTGAGGCTCAGGTAACATGTACCAAATGCTATCTGTAGAGCTGAGATCTTAATGCTTGGTGATGGAAAATGTTACAGGGCGTGTGAAAACCCTATCATCCGGGAAATAAAACCTACATCGGAAAACTGTAGAACTGTGCTGTCAAACTGTAGTTAAGATCAATGCCTTTTAGAGAAGCAAAGAAATGGGACAAGATGAAGCATGAGCCTAGTACACACAGTATTTATAAGAGTCTATTACCTGAATGGTTCATAATGCATAGGAAATGATGGGGTTTTGCAGTTCAATAAATTTGGAACAGACTGGATTGAACGGCCTTTTTAATCAGCAGGAGTTAGAACATTAAAGGACAGTGCCTTTAATGTAGTGTACTCCTGCCCACTGGTCCACAAACCCAAAAGGTTAGGCTAAGGATGTAGTTGCCTAGACTTCTTTGGCCATAAAAGGTCCATCCCTCCACCCCCGCACTCGCCCCACAGAGAACTCTGTGAGCCTAGAGTTCCAAGGAACACACTTGGCTTGGGGGTTAATATCTCTGGGTAATGAGGCCATCGGAAGCTCTGGCAGCTTCATGCGTGGGCCAGAGCTGTAGCAGTTTCATCAGGATGCTCAGAGCGACTCTTGTGCAGCCTACAGCAAGTCGTGGTTTCCTCATCTTTAGAATGGACCATGTCCAAGGCTTGTTGGCAAGAGGAATTCGCTGGGATTGGTAAAGCCTCATTTCAACAGGGTTATTAAGATTACACCATCTCAGAGTCATAAGGCTAATGGGATCTTTTGTTATATAATTACAGCAATAAACTAAAATTATTTGTTTCCGACCGTGGTTGAAAAAGCAACACTGTTCAACTTGCTTAGCTAAGAGTAACTGTGGTAGAAGGGAAAAAGAAAAAAAGAAAAAGAGCAACCCACACACACATGCACAAACAAAACTGTGGCTGCAACTGACCAGGCCGGGTCACGACACAAAGAGAACCGTTCCTGAAAGCTCCAAACTTCCCAATCAGCCTAATTACCTTTGACGGTCACAGAGATGGTTGTGTTCTCCCCCACCAGATAGCCACAGGGCAGCAGCTCGGGCGTTTCGGAGGTGTTGCTGCGCTTTACTTCCCCAATGCTGTAGCCGAGCACGCTGTCAGAATTCAGCCCGAGCTGACTCACTGGGTCGACGTGAATGATGTATTCCTGGAAAAAAATAAATAAATAAAGACCCCATCAAAGATGTGGCTCAAATCTGCCTGTGACTCATGTTTTCACTGGGTGATTTACGACCACCTTCTCTTCTCAGATGATATCTGAGTTGAAACTGAGCTGTGGCATGAGGGGGAGAAGAGCTGACTTTCCACTGGGATAATGCCCTGGTATCACAGGCCTCTTAAAGTACAGATTTATTTGGTCACGAATGGGGAGAAAAAACAAATCCCTGACAAGACTGTGAACGTTTAGTCTCGATGAGCCAAGCGTGGAATCGCGAGGCTGCGCTCCCCGAGTTCAGCTGAGTCTCTGAGACCTGGGGCCTGTGAATGGTGCTGGAAAATTCGTGAGAAAGTGGTTCTGACAGAAAATCTCTCTACCATCCTCTTCTTTTGGCTCCAAGATCGAAGTGATGAGAAAGAGAACAAAACACAGGGCTGCCAGAAAAAGAAATCAGCTCTCGATCTTTTGTTTAAAGATAGAGTCTCACTCTGTTGCTCTGGCTAGAGCAGTGGTGTCAGCAGCTCGCATCAACCTCAAACTCCTGGGCTCAAGCACTCCTCCCACCTAAGCCTCCCAAGTAGCTGGGACTACAGGTGTGTACCACAAAACCTGGCTACTTTTTCCATTTTTAGTGGAGATGGGATCTCACTTTGCTCAGGCTGGTCTTGAATTCCTGAGCTCAAGTCCCCTCTACCTCAGCTTCCCAGAGTGCTAGGATCACAGGTAAACCACCACACCCAGCACAACTCTAGATTTTTAAGAAGGAAAAGGTGTGCTTAATTTGGAAAATGTTCCCTCTTAGGTGAGTGGCTAAAAGGTTTGGGGTTGGTAAACAAAAAACTAAGGTCCATGGGTTATGGCCACACCATGAGTTAGATGCAATCCCAGTAGCAGGCCTTGATCAGTCTCATTTTCTCACTTACTAAATCATCCCAGTGTGGCTCTTGCTCTTTTTAGCCCAAATGGTTGTCATTCTAATCCAAGGATGTGTCTACTCCAAGGATCTGCTCACTGGCCATGAGCAGATAAGGTATGGGTTGGGTAGGAGAAGTGGTCTGTCCTATGCTATTCATAGTTCTTGCCTGGCCACATTTCTACAGACTGGCTAAGATGGGGTACAGTCTTTGGTCAAAAACCAGAACTTTGTATGAGGCCACCTGGATCTAAAGCAGTTGATTTTCAGCCACTGTGCTGTGGCACATTGGTGTGCTGCGAAAATTTTTGAAGTTTACTAATTAAATTATTTTTGAAAGACGTTCAAAGCATATTAAGCATATTCTTTTTTTTACTCTTTTTCTGATCAACATAATTTAAATGGGCTGTGGAAGTTTATCTAAAAGTTCAAGTGCACATGAGATACAAAAGGTTGAAAAACACTGATTTAGATGATTAGAAAGACTACTGATACTCATTAAGTTAGACCAACTCAACAAGACCAACATGGTCTAGTTCTAGATCCAGGACCTTGGACAAATACCTTGACCTGGGCCTCACTTTCCTCACTTTTAAATGGGAAGGGAAACATGGGCTTAGCATGGCCTTTGGAGCACACACACACAAAATGTGGGCTATTACTATTATGAAGGGGATATAATTAATGAACACTAGGGTTGTTGACTTAGGACAACAGAAAAAATTTGCCGAAAGCTTCTTTCAAGTTACCTTGTGCGCACCTTGGTACTCATTAGTTATTTTTCCTGTGGCAAACGCTCAATCTCATGATGTATTTAGAAAAGAAAAGAGAAGGAAGTGTGCCAATCCTTGACGCTGGCCATTGGTCAGATGTTAATGTCACTTGTACCCCGAATCAGAGACTCCAGTGTTAGCACAGGATGCTGGGCAAGTCAGATCAAATCCTCCCAAGATGCTGAATCTGATGGTCAAGCCCCAGCCATCAATCACATACCCTAAAGCATATTCAGTAGAACATAATTCTAAGCTAGAAAGAGATTTGGACCATTAGCAGTTCACTGTGAAAGGATCAAATAATTGCTCCAAAGACTCCCACTAGCTGGCCAACCATTAGGAAGGTCAGATGGAAACGGTTTGGCTAATCTTCAGTCTACTTACCAGCATCCTTCCATTCTATTGAGGGTCAGGGACATTTCAGCAACATAAGGATGTTGAGGAGGGAGCAGGCCTCCTGAGAGATGGCCAGGCTCAGGACACAGCCTCCCTTCCCTCCCCAGCCCTCACGTCGGGTGTACTGCCATAGCCATCACCTTGAAACACTTACTTTGAACAGCCGTCTAACCACCCCATCGAGCACATCCCACTTCGTCTTGCCACTAACTCCAATGCAGCCAATGAGAAAGACATGTGGTCTGGAATCCTAAGGGTAAGGAAATGTGTGCAGGTGAAAACCAAGTGGATCTCCTCTCACGCCATTCAGCAGATGACTCAGATTGCCTTAGAACTCCACCAGCGATTTGAGAAAGGAACAACAGTTCTATGTGTTTCAACACCAGGTATAATTTCGGTGGAATATAAGAGTCTCAAAACCCTTCCCTGAGGGCGGCTCCTGTGGCTCAAAAGTAGGGTGCCGGCTCCATATACCAGAGGTGGCAAGTTCAAACCCAGCCCTGGTTAAAACTGCAAACAAACAAACAAAAAAACCCCTTCACTGCGTTACTGCTCAAATACCAATCCATGGATCAGGAAGAAAGAAGCTCTTCTCTGCAATCTGGAACCTTCTGCTATGTGTGTACCTCACACAGGGCATGGATCACACATCCCTGCCTGGAATACTCTCCCCACTCCTGTCTGTCATCTGTCCCTTTTGAAACCTTGCTTATGAACTCACCTCTTCCAGGAAGCCTTCCGTGATTAACCCCTCCAGTTTCAGTGCTTATGTTGCTTCAAAGGTTCTATACCCAACTTACATAATAACATGTTCTGAACTTATCTATATTTAGCTTTAGGTATTTTTTTTCTTATTTGTATATTAAATTGATCTCCTTTGTAGATCTTATACTTCTTCAGGACAAAATGTGTTTCTGTATTTTTCCTTCATTTCTGTTTTTAAATAGCATTTATTGTTTTTCTTCTAATGAAAAGTTAATACAGGGTCAGAACACTAGTAAAACTCCAGGAAGATTACCCCTCAAATAATCATTTTCTACCTCTTTGCATCTCTGCCCCCAGGGCTCTGCATAATGGGGGCTAATTTATCACATTGATTAAAGGAACAACCGATGGAATGTTCCATTCTGTTTTTAAAAAAAATCTGACATGGTCATAGGATTGTAGTTAGGAGAGCCGTTGGGGGGCGGGGACTGTTACTGAAAGGGGAGGCAGCGGCATTTGGCAGTTAAGCAAAATCATCAGAGAAAAGAGCACCAGTCTTGCAGTGACATGATCTGACTCCCACCACTTGCCTTGTGGCCTCAAGTAAGTGATGCTTGTCTTGGGTTTCTCGGTTGTAAAATGCAGATAATAATCCCTGCACAACCAACCTCATCTGGATGATAGGATCCTGAATGTTATAATCTTTGACTTATAAACTACTGTAAAATGTAAGTTCTATCTGTTCATACTGATGCTCCCCAGAATAAATTGCATTCACAGGTACCACCTGCATTTACTGTAAGAATACTATAAGAATAAATACCCCCTCCCTGATAACCCATCACTCTACTAGCTACATCTTTTAAATGGAGCTATTTATTGTATCTTCCCAGAACTGATGATGCTAAAACCCTTGAGAACTGCAAAATTCTGGGTTTACCTCCTTTAATGAGGCTAACAAGCCAGCCATAGAGTGAAAGCCCCTGGCAAAGAAAACTCTGGCTGCAGACGGTTTGTGCCGGTAGGCATTGCGGCTTCCCTTGCTGTCTGGATCTACAGTAGCATATTGGCTAGAACGCTGATTAATGAGAGAAAAAACTCAAGGGATCTTGAAATGCTAAGTCCCATTTATTTGAGAGATGGTCATTCAGAGCATCACTGGGTTTAATCATGAACTAAAATTCAACTTTTACTGTCAACCCCTAATCCCACCCGAAAACAGTCTCTGGCAGTGGTGGAGACTGCAGAAATTCCTAGACTCTGGAGGAAAACAGAAACTAGATTTAGAGCATGCAGATTTCCCCCAGCCTTGGTGAGACAGGCCGCCCCCCTGCCAGCCACCTGAGGGCTCCTGGGCCTGGGATGCTTCTGTCCTTTGGTACCTGTTTTCTCAGCAGCCTCTGAAGACCTGTAAAACTGGTGCCCTTGTTCAGCTGAATCCAGCTGGCTTATTTCTGTGCCTTGTATTCTAAATGTGCATAGCTGTCTTAGAAGTGCTCTGGGAATATATTAAACTCAGAAAAGCCCTTTCTGATGGATGTTAATGTTTAGTTAATGATGGGAAAGTGCAATGTGGGACCACTTTCGGTACTCTCCATTAGACATTCAAACAAAAGGGAAAGGGAAATGCCATTCAGTCAGTTTAATTGTGTCAAAACGCTGCTGGGGATATGGTTAGTAAAGAGAAGCGTTAATAGTTATTTCCAAATCACCTCAGGCTCCAAGGTGATCTGGGTGTTATGATTAAATCACTAAGCTAGGTAGTTCTACCTGGGGAGGGAACAGGCAGAGCAGGGAAAGGGATCCAACTAACCTCCTTCCACTTCATTTCCTCCTGAAAGCTGACAACTATCTTAACATGCCTGCCTCCTTCCTTCCGAGCCGAGCATTCACCAGTGTCATCCAGCAACATGTCTGCGAATGGAAAACATCAACAGCCTTAGGCACATGGGGACAGCAAAGCTGGCTTCCTGACACCCCCGCTGCTTGTTGGCACAGCAGCGGGACAAAGCAGGTGTCGGGGTGCGGGGAAATGGGGTGGGATTTAGGGGAAGGGGAGAGGGCAAAATGGAGAATGCAGTCACAGAAACCAACGGTGGACCAACCAAGGAACCAGCAGGCTGACGATGCACCTTGCCAAATGGAAGTGCGAGGGAGAGACTCAACCGAAACGATAGCAATAGCATGGATAAAAAAGAAAAGCGTCAGCCTCAGTATGCTTACAAAGAAAGCCTAGATTGTGTTCACTGATGACTGCACCAGCCCAGAATCCATCCTGAAGGCAGGACGATCATAGACCAAGCCACTGCCCCGACTGGGACCTGCTACTGTAGGGTTTTTATGCAGCATTCAGCTTGCAGGTCAGCGTCTTAAAAATGGATCAAACAGAACTCAGCATGGTGGGTGAAGGGACCCAAGCCCAGGGCTTGGAGAGTTTGGGGTGCTGGAGCAAAGCATGAGAGCAGTCTAAAGGCTGAGCTCATGTTGGTAGCAGACACACACCCAAACACACACACCCCAAGTGCACACACACCTGTTGCCTCTCCATTTGATCTGTTATCTACTTGTCTTAGGGTTCTTGCTTGGAGACCAGAGTGCTAGGTATGAGTCTGGTCTTGCTCCCAAGTCCTGTGAGCTACTCACCCAGGCTGGTTGACTCAGTGAGGTTCAGGCTGTGCTGGGAGAACCCCATGGACTGCCTTGGGGAGGCGGAGATAGACACCTGGGAAGGGGCCCGGCTGCAGCCACTGCCTTGAGACTCCGACTTCAGCCGGTCATTCTCAGCTTTTAACTTCTCTATTTCACTCTGCAAAGAGCAAGGTAGATTTAATGAGAGTAAGTCTTTTCTGGAGGAAAGATCTGACATTTCCCACAGGAACTGGGTAGCGATCCCAAGCAAGGCAAGTAACACCATCAGAGGGAGTCAGCAGTGTCTGCGCCTCTGCTGCACACACAAGGCACATCTGGCAGGGTAGGGTGCATTCTTTCAGAGAACCTGCCTTTGAAAAGACCTCTGAAATGTTTCCTAGAGTCTGCTGCTTGAGGGTTAAGTGGCAAAGAGTCTAAAGAATCTAAGAGGTTTGTGCAAGATAGGCTTCTTTGCTGCAGGACGTCTCAGAACCTCTGGTGAGGTGCTGTGCTGTGAATCCGAGAGAGGTACACAGTGTGCGGTTCTCCTTCACAGAGCTGCTTCTGGAATAAGTGATTCAGGGAATCTCCTCCTGGAAACACTGTTCTCCAGTGATGCCCCAGTTAGCATAGCCCACAAAAGTATTTCATTCTACAACTGTTGATGAATGGCCTACTATGTGCAAGGCATTAGTGTTAGGTTCAGAAAAAGGGATGTAAAAAATAGCTCAGAAGACCCAAATGTCTTCCCTCCATGGCAGAAGGTGAGAGGGATATATGAACAAGTTTATAGGAATACGGAGATAAGGGCACGGACTCCTCCAGCTGCCAAGACCTGGAGAGGCTTTGCAGATGAAGAGGCAGCAGGCTGAGTGTTGAGGGAAGGGTCCAATTTGGATGTGCGGAGGGATTCTCCCAGTGGAGGAAATGGTATAAAACAGAAATTTCCATGGTATGTGTCCGGCTGCTGAGTAGAGTCTGGAAGCTGGAGCTGGGGAGGTGGTGGGGGTGAAGAGTGAAAGCCTCCCCCCCAAAAGGCCTTGAAGGCCAGATGAAGGAGCGTGCATTGCACGCCACAGGCAGCGGGGAGTCACAGAGATCTTGTGCAAAGGAGCAACAGAATTACCCTCGTTCTTTTGAAAGACTGGTCTTTGAGCAATGTGTGGGAGGGAGGGATGAGAGAGAGAGACTGGGGAAGCAGAGGGCTGCCACCAGATTCTGCCGCCGCCATTGGGCTTGGTGGAGAGTAGCCTCCTACAGCTCCTTCCTGGAGCCCCTTCCTGGATAGCCTTGAGCTCAGTCTAGGTCGCTGGGTGCTCACCTGCATCCTGTTCATGGCCTCCCGAAGCTGGTCGAGCTGGTGGGCAGAGCTGAGGGCTTCCAGGCGGATGTCCGTCAGCTTCATCTCCTTGTCTCTCAGCTCATTTCGGAGCTGCATGACTGTCTCAGCCTCGCTGTCCATGCACTCTGAAATCCTGGGGGAGAGGAATGTTATTGAGCACTGGGCCATGTCAGTTGGCAGGTTTGGATACTGCCAAAAAAAATCTATATAGACTTCAAGAAAGGAAAAAAACTTATTAAATCATAGTACTTAATATGTACCAATAACAAAAGATGAATAGTCACGTTTGAGCACCTCTTATTATTGCAGAAGTCAAAGGTGACTTGAGTATTATGATTTTAATACGGTATTTTCCTTCTTTAAAATGTGAATACATTCTGTGGGCACTTTCTGTATAAGCAGCTGCCTGGTGCTTCCTGGAGGTGCCCAAAGCACCTGAAATCCACAGATTTTTATTACTGTTCTATACTTTCTTTGCAGAGCTCTGACAACCAGAATGGCTTTCGTGTGCCTTTCATCAAGATTCCCATAACCTAGGGATAAGAAAAGCAGGAGATGGTCAAAGGGGGTAGTGACCTTCAGGGTTTGATCCCCACTCCCTGCCCCTGTGTGTACACAGCTGGGCTCCTGTGATGACACGGCGTGGCCTCTGAGTTCTAACCCCACTCCGAGAAGAAACGTCAACTGTGTTTTAAAGATTAGAAACTCCAAGGTTAAACAGCAGAAATGTGATTTTTATTTGCTAAAATGAGGAAGGAATCTGTCTGGTCACATTCTAAAAACTCAGTCCCTTAAAAGTATCTAGAGAGCAAGCTTCTTTAAGTTTCCCCATTCCTCACACAGCTTAATACACTCATGGCAAGAAGGGAAACCTCTCTAGGGAGTTAGAGACCAGAGAGGATGATGTTACCTAAAAAGCTGAGGTTCTATCTGAAAACTCAGCAATAGCTTGGCTAATTGTCTTCCTTTCTCAGCCGTGTCCAAGATCCAGGTGGTTGTGGGATCCTGCTGAGTTCCTCTTTCTTAAGGGGTGGTCCCTTAGCTGCGCTTTATTTGATGACTTAGGTTTACTCTTCAAACACTTGGTGGTCAGCACAAAACGGAAACTCATGGAAGTCACAGTGAATTGCAATGTTGAAAGAGATAGTTGTCTAAAAAAGTTCTGTGAAATTCAAATATCATAGGCTCAGGGGTACCGGGTGATCCAGAATAGAAAATTCTGACGTTTCTTAGACTGGCGACAGAAAAACACAAACACTCACACGTACCCCAAGTTCACAAAGTTACAAAGCTGAAGCTGACTACGTCTGAAAGAGATAATGAACATGTGACCTCTGTAGAAGTAAACGACCACACAAGCCTGCCGTCCACAATCCAAGAGCTGGATTTGGTGCCAAACAAAACCTGACCTGTAAAAATGGTTGAGGGTGTAGAAATTTTAATTGCCAAAGGAAAACGACTTATAAATTCCTATAAGAGATGCAACTGTATTTCAGGGGCAGAAAGAATGAGAAGAAAAACACTTGAACAGCCAAATCTTTCTGTTGCTATTTTCTTGACCTGCACTTGAACTGTATTGATTTGAGGACACAAAGAGAATAGAAGTCAGCAACTTAGGAAGCGTCTCAAGTCTTACAATCCCAAAAAGAAAAAAGAAAAATCCAAGAAACTCCTGAACATGTAATTATTCCCATTTCATACCTAGGAGAAATAAAAGCTGATAGGTTTGGGATTAAGGGGCTAAAGAGACAGAAATGTCTTTAGAATTCAGATCATCTTTTCTTTCCCAGCTCTCTGGGCTTTGAATAGCCTGTGGTTTATAAGGTTTAACTCTACAGCATGCCTTTTTTTTTTCTTTTGTTTGTTTGGGAGGTTTGCAGGAGGAGCTTGCAAAAACTGGTTCTTTCTTGAAAAGACTATAGTTTGCTGGTTTAAATGGAGTATAGGACTGAACAAAATTCCACAGTGATACCGCGGTCTTAGCCAAACCATGCCCTGCACAGATCTTGAAGGCTGATTCATTACAGAGAACAGTCTGTTCTGGTTCCCGCTGTCTCACACTGGTTTGTCCATGGCAAGGCGCTGTGCTCAGGTCTCTTTCACGTGGTCTGTACCTTTTCCTCAGAAAGCTTTCTTAGCAAGAGAGACAGTATTTCCTTGGCACCCACTTTGTGAAATGTATCACAGGGGTTCCTTTGCGGAGCTTGGCCAAACAATGGCTTTACAAAGGGAAGCAAACTAAAATCGGGGCAGTCTGTTGGGAGAACAAGGTCCCCGCGTGATCCCCTAAATTGGTCAGCTTTGAGAAACACAGTGGCGAGGCCACCTGAGAGGGATGTCTACAACATAACAGTGATGTTGAAAATAAGTCCTTGTGCCATTACCTCAACAAAGTTTTAGTCCCTAACCCTATAACTCAAGATAGAGCCTTCTCTCTTGGTTCTGTCCCTGAGTAGACTCATGCTACGTCACCAATAATTCTATTGCACTTAACAGGTTATCCTTTGCTTGGCTGTTAATTACATTGACCAGCACATAATAGGGACCTAGCAAATGCTTACTGAATACATGAATAACTGGGCTAGGCATTCAAAGTGTATTATTTCATTTACTTTGTACATTACTAACTCTATGCAGAGGTTATAATTATCTCCCATTTTTAAAATGAGGAAGCAGAGACACAGAGTGATGACACGCCCAAGGTCACACTATTTAAAAACAACAGAGGCTGGCAGCACTTGTAGCTCAGGGGTTATGGCACCAGCCACATACACCCAGGCTGGCGGGTTTGAAGCCGGAGTGGGCCAGCCAAACAACAATGACAACTGCAACAAAAAATAGCCGGGCATTGTCGCGAATGCCTGTAGTCCCAGCTACTTGGGAGGCTCAGGCAAGAGAATCACTTAAGCCCAAGAGTTTGAGGTTGCTATGAGCAGTGACATCACAGCACTCTACCAAGGGTGACAGAGTGAGACTCTGTCTCAAAAAAACAAAAAACCAAAAACCAGAGGCAGGATCAAACCTGGGATGTGTGCTTCTGCACTATACCTAGTAGGTGCTCGGTACACGCTCATCCACTTCACGGACTACTTACTGAGGCAATGCGATGCATATTTTTCCCTACTCAGTCCCTCACCCCTTATTCCAGCCTCTTCCTGCTGTCTTGTCCAGACGCAGGGCTGGTGGTATGCCTAATTTTAAATGCCTCAAGTATGGGAAATATTGCCTTCCCACAACGACCATTCCTTTCGCCCACGGGGTGGGGAATTTTCTAAGCCCAACCCCTCTGCCTTTGGTTTTTTCTTTGAACTCCCTCTCACATCTAGATTTGCACATTCTTACAAACCTTTCAAGGTTAGAAATAAGCATGTGCTCTCAGCCCACCCTCTGGAAAACTAGACCCAAAACAAACATCTCCAGTGTCCATGGATGCTATGGAATGTAAGAGAAGGGTTGGGATCCAAATCCAAGTCTGCCCTGCCCAGTCCCTCTGGGGAGCGTGGCTGGAAGGAGAGGTCCTGCCCAGCGAGTGCATCACCACCACTCTCTCCTCGTCTTACTTGGCCACCCGGTGTTGCTGGCCCAGCTCCTACTCCCTCCTCCACTGGTTTCTTCTCTCTGCTCTCAGTTTCCACCCACTGCTCTGGCTGGCTGCCCTGCTTTCTCTTCCAGAACTTCAAATATCAGAGTGCCCCTGAGCTCAGTCCTTACACCTCTGGTCTTCTTCATTGCCCTCCGCCCCTCAGAGAAGCCTTTCAGCTATGCAGGTTTCAACACCACCCATGTGCCCAAGTCTCCCAAGTCTACACGCCCTGGGACTCTGGGTCAGCATCTCCAGAAGTGTGCCTCCTGGTCATCCCAAACTTAATGTGGCCGAACCAGAGCTGCTGATCTCTATCCTGCCTCCATCAGAGTCTCCTACCCGCCTCAAGTTCTCAAATTGTGAGTCTGGGACTATCTGAGGATTACTCTTCTCTTTCCCTCACATTGCATATCTGATCATCACCATGGACTGTCAGCCTTTCTTCAAGAATATAGTCTAATTCCATCCAGAACTCACCACCTCCATCAGTCACTCATTCTTTCCACCAAATATTTGAGTGCCTGCAAAACCAACAGGGTACCTACCTCCATGAAGCCCATACTGTAGATTTTGGGTAGAGGACAGAGAACAAATAACCAGGGACAGCCTACAGATCAAGGGTCGAATGGTGCTATGTGCAATGGTGGGGAATACAGCAGGACAAGGGGACAGTGGAGTGCTGGCTGCTGGTGGGCTGTTGCTTTATGCAGTGTAGATGGGTGACACTTTATATATAAGGTTGCACTGAGCAGAGACCCAGAATAAATACCAAGGGAAGAGCATACCAGGCTGAGGGCACAGCGAGGCCTCAAGAAGCAGAGTGTGACCAGAGTGTCTGAAGGACAGCAATGGGCTGCGGTGGCACCAGCCTCCAGGGCCTCTCCTTTCCTCCTTTTTTTCCTTCCTGATACTCCTTTCTACTAATTCAGATTATCCTCATTCCTGCTTGAAACTTTCCCCCATCTACCCAGTCCACCCGAAATCAGATGCACATTCACTTCAAAGCGTCACATGTCCTAGGTAGGGCCTGTCTGTGGCTTCCTTTCCCATGCTGAGGAAGCCCTGCTGGCCATCCCTCTCCTTCTCACATACATGAAGCTGTCTCCACATTAGGGTGTCATTTTTTCCTTGTGTCAGGAAGGCTGCCCTGCTCACTGGGGGCTGGAGTGGCAGAGGCTGCTATGTGCTCACTGAAGCCCATTGCCATCCTCACTTCCTCCCCTGCAGGTGGTAGAGCCCTGAGTCCGGGTCCGCGCCCGGGGGGAAAGGTAATGTGTGTGCCTCTTCCAGCTCAGTCCCTACGGCCCTCCTGTATGATCCTCTGCCCTCTCTCCCCTCCCTTACCCAATGGCCGGGCACAGAGTGCTGAGCAGAAGACTTAGGCCTCATGGACAGCAGGAACCTCGGTGCCCACACCACCACAGAACAGGCTGCCTGTTGACTAGGAATGTCTGCAATGAGTTTAGAGCCACAAATAAACAGTCATATGCAAAGCCACTGCGATTTGGGCTGAGTGTGTTACAGCCACTAATGATACTGACCAGAACTGACTCAGTGGTTCCTTCCACCATGCAGATCTCAGCTGAAATGCCACCTCCTCTCCAAGGAGCCTTTTCGGACCACTCTATCTAAGGTTGCTACTAAGGTACTCTGTATTCCAGCACTATTTTAATTCATAGCATTAGCCCTGAGCTTTATCTGATTTTTCCAGTTTATTCAGGATTTATTTAGCACCCTTCTTTCCACTTGGTACATGTATATTGGGTCTACTGGAATAGAACTCTGTCTTGTAGACTACTGTAAGAGCTGAGATCAGTGCCTGCCACAGAGTGGAGCTCAGGAGCAGAAAGATATGTACTACATGTCCTGTCTCTATTGGTCCCTAGTCTCCCAGGGCTAGAGATCTGTTTTCTCCAGGATACCTTAAAAGAGTGCTCTGCTCACACAGGTTGCTCCACACAAAGTTTAAATCAGTAAATAAAAAGACGATGAATTCCATTTTCTCCTGGTCAGAAAACAAATGAGCTGGGATGCTCTGAGATGATGCATGTGTGAGAGTCACAGCAACCTGTTTGCTGCTCAGGCTGGAGTGCAATGTCATCATCATAGCTCAAGGCAACCTCAAACTCCTGGGCTCCAGGGATCCTCCTGCCTTGGCCTCCTAAGGAGGTGGGACTACAGGCATGTACCACCGCACCTGGCTAATTTTTCTTTTTGCGGGGTGGGGGTAGAGATGGGATCTTACACTTGCTCAGGCTGGTCTCAAACTTCTGATTTCAATTGATCCTCCTGCCTTGGTCTCCCCGAGATTACAGGGTAGGATTATAGGCATGAGCCAGCATGCTCAGACTGTAACTTGCTCCTTATTTACGTCTCGGGCACTCTGACGATCTAACAGACACATCCTCCCTATCACATTCATCTAATCCTTCACATGCTGGGGTTGGGGACCACAGGGACATGTTGGAGTCCAGTCCTTAAAGGTTCTTCTTCCTTCTCCTGCTCAGATTGTTACCCTCATTCACAATAGAAGGAAGGACACATCCCTGTGGCCACCCTCTTACTAGGGTGCTCCTTGGAAGAAGAGGAGCTGGTAATTAAAACAGAGTCCCTGACAGGGCCATGTTTCACTAGTGGGTAGGGAGGCTTAAAATCAGTGACCCCACAGTCCATTTCCTCTCTTCCATGCATTTGGTGTGCTACAAAGACCTGACCTCTGGACAGGCTGGTCTTCCCTGCACTCTCTGTACCCATGTGGAAAGCCATTTGGGCAGGGCCTTAGGACTCTTACATAAGCTGCTATCTCTAGCAGACTGGCTGGGTAAGTGGACTTAGGGTCAGCTCTGAAGACCCAGCTTCCCGAGAATGAAGGAAGATGGAACAGGAAGAATGAAACTCCAATGCACAGTGTCTAACTTGGCCCTCCCAAGAATCTACCAAGGCAGCTATAACTAGCTCCATTTTTACTCGTGAAGAAACTGAAGTTTATAGAGCCAAACTCTTTTTCTAACCCCATCTCAGTGGCTATTTGGGCCGCAACCACAACTCCTCTCATCTTGCTGATAACTTTCCTCTTCTTCAATTCTAGGCCTAGAATACCACAGTCTCAGAATGAGTTCAGCCCTACTGGGCAGAGGTGGCCTTTCTCACTGCTGCAGGGAGCAAGCTCTTTTATACCCATTTACCATGGTCAGTCCTTAGATTAGAGTAAGCAGGCAACAACCATTAACCCAGTTTGACAAAGACATGGAAACAAAGAGAGGTTAAGCAACTTGCTGAAGGCCAGCCAGCTAATGACAGATATTGACATCACCTGCACTAAAACCTAATCTCCTTTCTCTTTCAACCTTCCCAGTCCTAACTCACGGAAAGGACATGCATAGTCCTGCTGAAGCAAAACACAAAGGATCCTATGGAGCAGATGTAGCATAACAGCACTCCTCCCCATTCCCATCTGAGAGAGTTCTTAAGGGCTAAGATGTCCTGTGACTAGGCCGACCTTGACGGACTGACTTACAGAGAGTTGGAGTGAGAATTCCTCAGCAGCGGAGTGGAACCCGTGGACCCGTTGTGTGGTAACTTTGGTGAGGAAGGCAAAGAGGAATCTGTCATCTCTTCAATGTCTGAATGAGAGGATGCTGACTTGGGGGACTTCTTCTTCCCGAAAGCTTGCTTGAAGGAGCTGCGTAACTGAATATACCAGATTGTCAGCCTCACGGGGGCTGAGGCCAATCCTTAGGCCTCGGCAAAACAGGGACATGCACGTAAAAAAGCAATTAGTTCTCCCAGATTTCCCCCCCACCAATGGAGAAGGTTCCCAACAGCTCTCTTGAATCAGTGCATTAAAGGAAGAAGAGTTATCTGGTATGGACAGCTCAAAGGACTGAACCTGTGGGTAACATTCCATGCCTACTCTTGGTTTCAGACTAGATGCAAGACAGAGCCTGGCTCAGCAGATGTGTGTCGGGAAGATGAGGTTACACAGCAACAAAGCAGGATGCCCAGACTTGGTAACAGATGCGGATGGAGTTAGTCATATCAGTGGATGGGTTAGCTTGGTATCTGATATTAAAGTTGGTCTTGCTTACCTCATTTACCTGCCAGAGAAAACGCAAGCAAAAATGGGGAAGGGGAAGGAAAAAAGACAATTTTTAACAGATAAAGCCAGTGACAGGGAAAGCTTTGGATTTTTAGACACAACATGGCTAATAATAAACACCACACACAGAGGAGGTTTCCAGGAGGGCAGGAGTCATTAGAAGCGCTGGGGGCATCTTCCTCCATCATGAAAGGAAGGGGATAGCAGGTGGGGAGTCCCTGCAATTCCAGTTCTCCCAGCTTCTCCCCGTCTGGTTGAAATGGCTACTCTAGCTTCTTATTCTTTTCCTGCCTCTTATCAGCCATCTCTCTGTAGATGCCTGCCTCTTATCACCCCATCTCTTTGATTTGGGGGTGGGAAGAGATCCCTTCCTTTCTGAGTAGTGCTAACGGTACCGCTCCCTAGCCCCAGAAGGCTGCGTGGTTCTTTGCCTTCTCCTGGGAGTTCCTGCTGCCTTTGTAAATATGATAATCTAATAAGCAGGAAATTAGCCATCTTACTTGTAACTCAAAAAACGGACAGTCATTTTTTAAAAACTTATTAACCATACTGGGGAACAGGAATTAGTCTATCATTACTTCCCCAAACCATAAAGTAGAACTGAAAGTTCTCATGGGAACAAAAAGAATTAACGTGTAATATCTTCTCTGAAAGCCACAATCGGTATTTATTGTTCTAGACCAAAAAATAATGTTTCATCTTGAAATAAAGGTCTTTTACAGAGTAATTTCCTTTTCCTAAAGTCTTTTTTCCTCTTGAAAATACATTCTAGGGGTTTTCTTAGGTGTTGAGAAATTCAGAAAGTGGGTCACTCTGAAAAATATTAAGATTTTTTCCTCCCATCAATGTGTTCCATCTGTAACAAACTGCCTGTCCAGCTTGTGGGCAAATCTAGATCCCTTCATTTCTCTCCTGCTTTTTTCCTTCTGGTCATATTTCCAGAGAGGAGTCATGGAAACAGCAGGATTAGGGACACAAACCATCAACTTAAATCCCTGCCTCCACTCTCTACTAAAAAACCAGGTAGAGGAGGAGATTACAAAGATTTGACAGAATTAAGCTTTGGGCTTCACTGAGGATGCCAATTATCCATCATCCCTGACTTTACTGATAACCCAAAGTTGTCTTCAAGCAACAAAAAGTAAGTTTTATTTCTAGAATTGAAGCAAATGGATATCCATTTTTTTCCACAGCAAATATTCTCTCATCACTTTGATGATCAAATCAGATCTTATTTATCAGTGACATATGAGATGCCAACATGAGTTAATCTTCTCTGTTTAGTCATAGAAAATCAGTTGTCTAAAAGCCATTAATAAAGAAAAAATTAATCAGAATGATGAGAGGGTCACACTGAACTGGACTTTTAGCTTGCTTCCAATGCAAGTCATCAATGACTAAAATAACTAAATCCCTAATTTCTCTATCACTAGACCTCGCCACCCATCCAAGATAACATAGAATGAATGAGAATGTACACGGTGAGTGAGGATGTCGAAGCTTCTATGAAAATGATGCCATCAGCCTGACAACCAGGGCTCTCTGACCACTGGCCACCTTCAGGTCACCTTGGGATATTCCTGCCTGAAGGCAAGGAATAGCAAATGTTGGTCAGGACTTTGCAGCTTTTCTGGTAAAACTAAAAACTGAGAAGGGATTGAGTAGCATAGAATTTTCCCAGAAGGGTGAGAAAAACTGTTCAAGATGACCGTACAGAAATTCAAGTAGCTCACTGGGTTTCTGAACACGTGGAGAAATATTGCAACGGATACTTAATGTTATTAAACTCACCATCAGGAGGGTACAATCTCCAGTTTGTAACTCCTCCCTAATTCCTAACATTGACATTAGGAAACTTATTTACAGGATGGAGTTAAAAAGTTTTCAAAGAGCAGGCTGACTTGATGCTATCCTAGGCAATTATGTAAACAGAGGTTATTGTTAATGATAGGATAACTAGCAGTATACGCTCAAAAAAGTACTCTGGAACTAATTAAGAAGAAAACACTTTGCTCTCGTACCTAGAACGTTGTGGCTGACGTATAATGAGAAAGAAATGACACGGGTATGGAATGAAAGATGGGGACTCCACACAAAGTCTCATGGAAGATAAACAACTACCAAGTGGTGGTGATTTTATAAATTCTTGTGTTTTGCTGAGCATAACATTGATTTTAGTCAAAACCTATCCACAGACCAAAGGTCTATGACCTGCAGTTGAGAGCTAGCCTGGCCTTTATTGGGGGGGGGGGGGGCGCTGGTTCCCCGGCTGACACTGTCAGGCAGTCCCCAGGAGTGTCTGCACATACACTCACCCAGTTCTTCCTCTTCTTTTTCTTCGAGTCACTCTCTATGTTGCTGCCCACGCTGGAGTGGCTGGTGGCGCTGTTGATGCTGGAGACGCTGTCGGAAGAGTGCTGCCTGCGGATGCGGAGGTCTGCAGACTGGGCTGGGCCGTTTCCTGGAGGCCAAAGCAGGGTATATAAGCAGCTGCCGACCTAAGCCCTGTCCTCCAGGGCAGAGGATGGCCCTTCCTGTGAAACCGCACACCGGGGACTTCTATTTCCCACTTAGATGTCACCTCCGTCCCCCACTGCTGGTTTTAAGATCCTTGAGTAGGTGGCTGCTCTCTCTGTCCTCTGGGGTCAACTAAACAAGGTCTACCTTCTCTCACTTGACAAAACAGAAGTGAAGGGAGGCTCAGAGGGAATTTCCCTAAGACCAGCTCTCTTAGAGAGGCTGGAGCCTGTGCCTGTGAACTGCAGCCGTGGTCACCATCATTGTCCGCCCCTCTGCCCCTGTTGTCCAGGCTCCTGCTGCAAAACTGCAGCCCTTGGAAGTGCCAAGCCCACAGCAGCTCGGGGCCTTCCATGTGCTATCTTCCCACCTGGGTGCTCTTTTTCCCTTGATTCTGCCTGGCCAGTTCTTTCTAATCCTCCCCATTTCAAATCTATCATCACTTTTTCAGAAGGCCCAATAGCTACAAGAACAACCGTACTGAAAATGACTGACATCCAACGAAGTGTGCAGACGGTTTTCCCCAGGAGGACAGACTCCCTAAAGCGTGGTCTCGAGAGCCCTGGTTAGACAGACACAGGTTCTCAACCCACTTCTGTTTCTTACTGCTCCCTGACTTTAGGAAGTAGCTCTCATGTCCGAAAGCCAGTGTCCTCAACAGTATAATGAGGAAAGGACCAGTGTGATACTCACAGATGGGAAGAAAACAAGATAAAATTGATCTAATCACTGAAGCACTGAGCACAGTGTTCAGAACACAGTACGTGTTCCATAAAAGCTATCAACACTGCTTCTTTTACTGCTACTGACAATATTCTTAAGCAGGAGGTAACCACCTGCACACCTACATTCTTTTCTTTCATCCCAGCTGAGATACAAAGGACAAAGCAAGTTGCTCAGAAATGTTTTCCTGGATACATCAGGGAGGAACTATTTCAGTTTATCCTATATCAATAGCAAAGTGTTAGTAAAATTAAGGGCTGTAAACCACTCTGATGCTCTGTCAGTAGAAATATATTTTCTCCCATTTTTGAGATCCATCAAGAAGATCAAGAGCTTTATCTTCACAGAGACTAGAAGTGACCTGATTAAAAGTGTTTGCCTTCCAGGACCTGCCCGACCTGAGGCAAAATTGAATTACCCAGCGCTGTGGCAGGGAGGTTGCATCATGTATCGTCAGGGGAAGGCTCCTAGGGGCAGGTAGGTGTCGGCATCATGTATCCTTAGGGGAAGGCTCCTAGGGGCAGGTAGGTGTCTGTTCCTCTTACTTTACCTTTGCAATTGAGCTCCGGTGTGTTAATTACTCCATTTATGGCAGCCTGGGCAGCTGCGTTCTGTTTCTTTAGCAGCTCAATGGTTTTTCTTAACTCATTCAGTTCTGAATCCTGAGGAACAGAAAGAACGGTTGGTGATCCCTAAACCATTCTGTGCAGAATTCCACTTAGCTTCACTATGGGAGGGAAGGGAACGGGGAGTTCAACGTAACCTCTGTCTTACTGATTCAGTTGGACTGAATATCCACAGGCATAAACAAACACATAGAAGAGGTAGGGGTGGGAATACAGATCTGGCTGATGCTGTTATCATCACTCAATCAAAGTCATTTTTTCCCTACACAGATCTCCCTATTCTTTACAATTAAATTCTAGTAGTTCAAGAAGTACATTAAAATCTCTACAATCACCTAAAGGAATGAGAGTAATATTTTTAGGTTTGTTGTTAACTCCACGCAGGGAGAGAAGCCAGCCGCCTTTCTGCCTCACCTTCTGCTCAGCTGTCATGGTCAAACTCTGGAGCCTGATTGTCATGTTTCCAAGACTCTGTTCAAAGGCTGCCACGAGATGAGCCTGGAGGGGGAAGACACAGCATCAGTTCCATTACCTTGCCAGGCACGAGGGCCTAAAAGGGGCTGGATCTTAAAGGCAGAAATCCCATAGGTATCACTTGGCATTGCCTACTCCTTCAGGTTGCCTTGAAGCCCATTCCCTGCTGCCTTTTGGGGTCCAGTGACTCCAGCATTTTACTTGCTCAAACATCCTGTCCATCTTCCTAGCTCAGGGCCACTGTCCATCCCTTCCCCTCTGCCCGGAATGCTTCCCCCCTCCCCGCCTCAATCTTCTCCTTGTCTGATTTTTACATGTCTACCTTGAGAGCTCTCTATGTTTGCACTCAAGACCCACCCAGACCGGGTTAGTTCCTTCATACTCTCACAGCACACTGCACTTCTGACAAATGCTTTGTGATTTCATGGTTAAAAACACACACAGTCTGTGGTTGTTGATCTACGTCTGCCTTCTCTGCTGCACTGAGGGATGATTTTTTGCTCACCACCTGCTAAGCTCATAGTAGAGGCTCATATCAAGTATGTTTGCAGAATGAACAAAGTGGTTGGCATATTTTGCTTATTATAATCCTGGTTAATAAAAAGCTAATGAAAGGCCCATCTGCTCCCTCCTTGGAGAAACCTTACCTATTTCCCCCAGTGAGTTACCACTTCCCGAGTACTTTTAGACACTTCTGTTAGAACATGACATCAGATGGAACATTACTACTAAGAAAATTTTTCAAGTGTTGTCGATTATAATTAAATATGCATCCAATTTTCAGAGATTTTAACATGTGAAAAAAGAATACCTTTTAGAACTGAGAAATGTGAGCTTCTTTTCTGCCTGCACCCCTGTCTGCAACTTTATTCAAGGATAAGAGGTAACTTTGTGTCCCAACATTAAGCTTTTGCCTGGGACACAGAGTAATAGTCGAAATGTTGGTTGGTTGAACAAGGATCCAGGTTACGTCATTAAAACCAAGAAGAAAGAATGGATGCCTTTTAATAGTCATGCTAGGGAATTTCCAGCAATCAACTTAAGCATCCAGTACCAGCCAGAATTTTCTAACCTCCAAACTCTACTTGGATAAATGGAATAGGGGCATGACCTATAGTTAAGAGGCATTTGAGCAGCAGACAAAATGAATTGTGATGAAGGTTAACACCACCTCTGTCTTGCTTACCCCTGTGTATCCTCACAGGGTACAAAGTAGCCACTCCATAAATGAGGGCTGGATGAGGAAATGGAGGATTGAAAAGAAAAGCACTTGGATGAAGGAGGTGGTGTGGCACGGGGTATAGAGTTGTAGGTCTCCAGCTCTCATTCGAGCTCTTTCTGATTATTCCTGATGCTGAGCGAGTCATCTAATCCTCCTGGCCTCAGCTTCTTTATCCCTGATATGGGAAAAATATCAATCTTGAGCACGAAATGAAACAAAATGGGTGAGGAAGGCCTATGAGCCATTGAGTAATTGCAAAACGCAGGAATGAATGACACTGGTAGGGAAGGGAAGGGGTTTGGGAATGAGAAAGTGAGAAATGAAACTAAGAGGGGAGTCATATTCCCGGAGAACACAGGTGTAGGGAGGGAGCAGACACACCGAGGACAAGGGGACAGGGGACGAGGAGAAGAGCCAGCAGAGGTTACTTCTGAGGAGCCCTGGGGGAAATGAGATTGGATCTTGCTGGAAAATTCTAGAGGAAAAGATGACTGATGCACACAGAGAAGAATAAAAGCAGGGTAAGAATGGAGGGAGAGGGAAGAAGCCTTTGGCCTGGGTCGTGAGGAGGGTCAGCAACATTTGATATAAGGGGAGGTCAGAGGGGTGCACAGAGGCCTGTTATCCAACTTCCTCAAACCAGGATGGTTGAGGCTAAGACATCACGAGGATCAACTGTCGGCAGGGACCAGGACCATTTGTAGTGTTAAGTGGAAGACCTAGGCTTTCTGACTACATCATCTTTCTCTATTAAAAATGGAGAAAATCTCTTTTGATTTTAAAATAAATAGACATGCTTTGGTTTGTCCTGGAGAACAGGGGGCAAAATCAAAATCAATCAATTTGAGATAGTCACATAGTCAAGGAAGGAAATGGGCCAGGCCACGAATACCTAAAAGAGTGTTTTGCTCTCCCTTACAAAGGAATGACTAAGTTAAATTTAAATGACTTCATTTCCATTTATTTCAGTTTGGCCTTTCACTGTCCCCCCTCCCATGATTCCAATTGTTGGCATTCACATTTTCTATTCAATTAAAAACAAAACCGAAAACCTAACCCTTGAAGACTGCTATTGAAAGAGTGTTTTTGCAAGCTCAAAAAGAAACTACATTTGCTCTGAAGCACCAGAGGGTCCCTAGCAAAAGGACTGTCTTTGTGTCATCAGCATAACTATGAACATAGGCCAGAGAGGCTGTCCTAGGCCTGGCTCAGAGACACACAACAGCCTTCTCATCCAGCACCATTCTCACGTTCCCAGGGAAAACAAACACCAGCGGTATAAAAACACCCAGAGAAGGTGGCTTTGAGTAGTTTGTCTTAGAAAAACAAACACAGCTTGTTCTGTGAGAAAAATGGCAGACAATAAAACATGTTAGCACTGCCGGTGGTGTGTGGTAAGACTAAATATTTACTTTATAACAATATAGGATTCAATGGCTTTTATGAGTCGCAAAACTCACTTCTGGAATAATATAAGGGATCTCGCTCTTACTCTTTTAGAACAGAGGGTAGAGTTCCAAATGGCCCAAAGTAAAGTTCCTTGTGCAACATGAGATCAGTGGAGGCACTGACTCAAGTTCACTGATAAGTTAACTACTACTTGAGGATTAGTCAAGGGCAGCGATTGGCAGCTGTAATTCTTAATTAAAAGAGTAACTCAGAATCACTTGTGGGTTGGGGATGCCAGTAAACCTCACATGTTTGCATGATACCCAGAAGACCCCCTCCCTGGGTCTAGAATTATTCTGGATTTGAATGCATACCTCTAGTTCTCTAGATAAAGAATCTATCCATTGAATACCTCTGCTGCTTTTTAGAATAGGATCTAAGCCTCAGAATTTATTTTTACATCAATTTCTGAAGTTCTTTTGTTATCATTACTGATGGTAGAAGAGGTAAGGAAACACAAGGAATCACAAAATACACAGTGGCCTAATATGTTAGGGGTTTGGAAAGAAATCCAAGAATTCCAGAAATGTAAGAGAACTTAGGAGACTGAATGGTGAAGGCAGCTATCAATTACTGACCTTGTAGTAAGGTCAAGCACCGTGCTAGGTAACTCAAGTGCAGATTTTAAAGAGAAATGCTTTCCTTGAGTTGACTCAGGCTCAAGCTGAGAATGCCAGGGTAAAAACTCCAGGTGAATGATCGGAATATTGACTCCAAGTCAAAGGAAGACAAATTTCTGAAGCTGCATTTTAACAGCATGTTGCAAAGTGCTGTGGGTTCAGGATGGGTTGTGATCTCCAGGCCAGGAAGCCTTGCCTCAGAGGCATCTTGGTACCTTCCGATACTGTAAGCTCTGCCTCCTGAGCTCCAGCCTTTGCCTGGTCACAGCTCTGCACAAGGGCTGCTTATCAGATGGGACATATGGGGGCAGGAGACCTCTGCCCCTGTTCTAATCCATTACTCTGATCCTATATCCACACCACAGTCAGGAATCTTTCTAAAGAGAAACCAGACCACCCCACTGCTTTCTTAAAACTTACTGGAAGAAGTCCAAACTCCCAGCCCAACAGCTCAGACACTGTGTGATCTCACCCTTGCCTTCTCCAGTGGTTTCTTCCTCCTCATTTCCTTCTCTGACCCTTAGCTGTTCCCCATAGCCAAGCTACAGATTCTAATCACACCAAGCTCCAGATAATTCAAAATGCACCAAGACCATTCTCCCTGGCCTTTGTGCAAACTATTCTCTGGTATGAATTTTGTCTTCCCCTACACCGCATTCATCAGATGTCGCCTCCTCTGGAGGTCCTTCCTGACCCCCTTCCCACCCTGTACCAAGACTGAGTTAGCTCCCCTTATGAACTTCCACAACCTTTCCTTCCTCATCTCTACCCTAGCAGTTATCATGTTATAGCAATCCTATTTGTTCTGTCTCTCTGCTGCAGCAGAGACTGAATGCTAAGAAGCTGGTGACCGTGCTTGCTTTACGATTGCACCCACAGTGCCCGAGGCATAGCTGGCACCCAAACAGTGTCGAATTGAATGCTGCTTGGCAGTGTCCCCTGCGCACATAAAAGTATATATTATAATGACAGAGCAGCTGGCTGTTTAATGCGGAGCCCTAAATTCTTTTCCTTTCTGTCCTTCTTTACCCTCTCCTTTAAGATCAAAATCTTCAGAAAGGGAAAGGGAGAGAAATTGACATTTTAATGAGCACTTAATATATAGCAAACACAAACCATAGCACAACTGTTGAGAGATTTATCACCCATATTACAGAGAGAAGCAAATTCAGTCTAAAAGGCTAATGAACCAAACCCACAGCCACAAACTCAGTAAGTGTGCGAGCTGACAGTCACACCCAAGATGCTAAAGCCTGTATGCCAGGGGTCCTCAAACTTTTTAAACAGGGGGCCAGTTCATTGTCCCTCAGACCGTTGGAGGGCCAGACTGCGGGCCCTGAAACGAGTCGGCTGCTAGGGAGGACAGGCAGTGGAGGCAAACACACCCGGCAGGCTGGATAAATGTCCTAGGCGGGCTGCATGTGGCCTGCAGGTCTTAGTTTGAGGACGTCTGCTATATCCTTTTTATCATACTCTGCCGATTCTGTATGTTCAGAGACAGGAGGCCCCAAGGCAGTGCTCAACAAGTAGGACCTCTCACCCCCATGGCTACTGCCCTGTCTGTACTTACATTTGCTGTCAGCTGGGTGGTCAACGCTGAAACCTTCTCCTGGGAGGCATCTAGTTCCCGCCGCAATTTACGAATCTACAGATGACAAGGGACAGAGTCACTTGCTTTGGGAATCCATTTCTAGGTTGAGTTGGGTAAAACAATCCATAATAATGAGAGCGGAAATCCAAGCAGCAAGCTGTTCCTTACCTCTGACTGGCATTTTTCTTCGGGCTATAAAGAAAACATAAGGGAAGTTAGACCAGCTGAGCAAGGAAAGGACTGTGAAGTCCAGCCCACCCTGAGCGCCATGTGTGGATACCTGCACTAGCTGGAAGATTTATTAGTTTCTTTTCTGGTTAAATTTTAGTTTTGTTTTTTTTTAGTCTAAGTAAATTCCATGCAATATTGGGGACATATTTATACTAAGAAATTATTTGTTAATCTGACTTCCAAATTTAATTAGGTGTTCTGTATTTTATCTGGCAATCCTATCTAGGGAGCAAGGAGGACAGCTCTCATGTTAATTCTGCGCCCATTTTATCCCTCTCTTTCACCTACATAGGGCATCTCAGCGGGAACAGCAGCAGGGCAGACAGGCCTCTAAGTCAGGAGGGATGGGGAGGTCCCTATCAGCCAGGTTGGTACTATACAGTGGTCAAGACAGAAGTGACCTTTAGCTTCCTATGCCCCACCATAAGTCTCCCAATTATCCATGACCCTACCAGGAAGGGTTTGCCCTGTTGTCCATTTTACTGGCAGAGCCTTCCATGCTGTGGTGACATAGGTACCTGCCAGGCAGAAACTCTGAGACTATCTCTTCCCAGAAGAGGCATTCACATGGGATGTAGGAACCTGCTGCAGGAGGAACCTTTCTTCCCCTCTCCTCTGGTTCCTATGGGGGCCCATAAAAAAGGCATCCATTCTGCTCCTTGGAAATGTAGAAGTGTTCCTGTCCTCCTCTCCACCCACCACTCCAGTGTCCCCAGGGATGAGGAATGATTTGTAAACCAGTTAGGTGAGTGGACAATAGTAAGGGCCCCATTTTGTCCTTGGGTCCTAGATGAGTGTCCTAATCCAATTTCACTAGTGATAAACCCAATATTTTTAAAAATCAGCATCTGATTTTTAGTGTGTAAGTGTCTAATTTTCTATTAGTTCAGAACACAAAGGGGGATGATTCATTAGAACCTGCAGACCTCAACACCAATCAGCAGAGCAAGTGGGCAGCTGCTTCCTGTCTGGTCTTCACCCCAGATTCCCACTGCCCTCCCTCCTAATCCCAAAAGCCCCCCCCCAACCCACCACCACCAATAGCAGCAACTAGTTTTTAAACAAATGTGGCCAATAGCAGCAACTAGTTTTTAAATAAATGTGTCATTTAATCCTGACAATAATTCCTTTAAGTAGTTTGTCTGTATTTCTTTAGAGGTTCAAAGAGGTTAAGTGTCTTGCCTAAGTCACATAGTTTAACAATCTCCTTATCTAAGAAATACTTTCAGAAGGTTGGAAGATGTCCTCAGGGTTCACTCTTCCTTCCCAGGTAATATTCATTCTTTGTTGTCCACTCCACTGCGACCACACATCAAATATTCACTGATCTCCTACTATGTGCCAGGCACTGTTTTAAGAAACCGGGTTATATTGGCTTGGCGCCTGTAGCACCAGCCACATACACTGAAGTTGGTGGGTTCAAATCGAGCCTGGGCCTGCCAAACAACAGTGACAACTATACCCAAAGAATAGCTGGGCGTTGTGGCAGGGACCTGTAGCCCCAGCTACTTGGGAGGCTGAGGCAAGAGAATCGCTTAAGCCCAAGAGTTTGAGGTTGTTGTGAGCTGTGATGTCACAGCACTTTACCCAGGATGACATAGTGAGACTCTGTCTCAAAAAAAAAAAACCCAAACAAACCAGGATATAGTTGTGAACACGACCAGGTCCCTGACCTTGTGTTGCTTACATTTGGGTAATAATAATGAGCATTTTGCTGAATGCTTATCACATGCCAGACTGTTTCAATCACTTTACATTCATTATTTAATCCTTATCACAACCCTTAGAGTAAGTACTAATACTATTGCTTTCTGGTTTGCATATGAGGAAACTGAGGCACAGAGAGGTTAAATTACTTGCCCATGGTTGTAGCTGGTTAATTGGTACCTAACGTCTCAGAGAAGGCACATGTGAGGACAGTTGGGGTTGGATCCAAGGTAGTCTGGCTCCAGAGCTTGTGATCTTAACCAGCACATTCTCTCATTCTTTTATAATAGCTACATTCTCATGGAGGCTTTCCAGAAGTCTCATCCAAAGGAGAAAAGTTATTGGTGAGGATGCCACAGCAATCTAACAGTGGGGAAGCTGGTAGAGGCCTGTTAGCAGGCTGGAACATCCACACGGATCTAGTTCTACTACTAAACATTTCAACTAACAGTCCTTCCCCATGCCTCTGTCACTGTCTGTCCCTGTGCCCACCTGTTTCTGGGGTTTGGCCCCCATTATCAAGAGCAGCCAAGAGAAATCCCGTCCTCTGCATTGTGCCCTCAGCTGCTGCTGCTGTTCCGCACATCTGGGAACACTGTGTGTAGCGGCGGGCCTCCTTCCACTCCGCAGTTCCACTGGGAGCTCAACTGCTCCCTATTGACCAAGAAAGCAAGTCTGATGCCAGATGCGGCCTCTCAGACCTTTTCTATTTCAAGTCCATGACTTCTCTATGGCAATTATTTAGACCATGTAATGCTTTCGTTTGTAATTAAAATTGTGGGCGGATTTCAGGCAGATTAAACATTCTTGAATATCCAAGAATTACAGAGATTTCAAGGAAGGAACTGACTGTCATCCAATAAGAGCCTTGAAAACTCTCAGCTATGAAGCTGAGATTCCTCGTTCTGGGTCTTTGGCAACTTAAGAGACTCCTAAAATACCTTTTTAGACAATAAACAAGAACTTGTTCACCTTAACATTTACAAAGGCGCCTGGGACACGTGTTTAGAAATTTCGGCATCAACAAGAAGCCAATAACAGATAAGGAATCATGCCTCCGTGGTAGGTGGTAGCAGAGTCTAGCTAGACTTGCAGTTTTGCAGGAAATTAGTAGAGTACTCTAGCATGAAAACATTCAAATGTTAGGCTATTTCTTTAGAAGTCCACAGAAGCAATCTAAATTCTCAGAGAAGGCACAAGTGAGGACAGCAAATGGAAACCTCTGACTCCATGGCTCAAGGAAGGTCAGAGATGGGGTGGGGACCTGGGAAGATCACCTCACTCAGCTTCCTGACTCAGAGGGCAAAACTGAGAGACACCCTGAATAACAAGGTGATTTGTTGAAAGTCACATAGTGAGAAAATAACTAAGATTAGACCTAGGTCTCTTGCTATCCAAATGAACATAGAATTAAAAGTTATTATTATTAGATCTTTGGTAATTTGTTATGTCCACTCAAAAACGACAACTTTAAATTTCACAAAGCACTGTCTTTATATTCACAGACCCAGAACAAAGGCTATTGGAAGAGCATCTTTCATTGCAAGAGCTTCCAGTGCCTGGCATGAAGGGGCTGCCCCTGGAATTGCACGTAATAGTTTCCTAGATTTGAACACTCACAGGTGGAGAAGCCCATGCTCTTTCCCTTCAAGGCTGGCCAGTAAAAGCCAGATACCCAGTTTTTTTTTTTTTTTTTTTTTGAGACAGCGCCTCAAGCTGTCCCCCTGAGTAGAGTACCTTGGCATCACAGCT